ACTAGTTCTACCGCCGTGCTTTGCACACAGGTGGCTGGCGGGTGTCAGTTTCTCCAACTTTAGTTGAACCGAGTGTGGCTACGCCCGGTCCTTGCGAAGGTTAAAACAGCACCAACTTGACAAACTATCGTTGTGGTTTTGATGCGTAGGTAAGATTGGTTCTTGCTTAAGCCCGTAGCAGTCACGTAAAACTTGCAACAACAAAGTAGAGGACGTCTAACTTGTTTTTGCAGGGCATGTTGTGATGTGATATGGTCAAGACGTGATGAGATATAAGTTGTTGTATGAGATGATCATGTTTTGTTGAAGTTATCGACAACTGTCAAAATCCTTATGGTTGTCTCTCTATTGCATAAGATGCAAGTGCCCAATAATTGCTTTACTTTATCGCTATGCGATAGCAATAGTTGCAATAGCAATTGTTGGCGAGACGACTATGTGACGACACATTGATATAGATCAAGATGATGGAGATCATGGTGTCATGCCGGTGACGATATAGATCATGATAGTACTTTGGAGATAGAGATCAAAGGCGCAAGATGATGATGGCCATATCATGTCACATATTTTGATTGCATATGATGTTTATCTTTTATACATCTTATTTTTGCTTGAGTTGACGGTAGCATTATAAGATGATCTCTCACTAAATTTCAAGATAAAAAGTGTTCTCCCTGAGTATGAACCGTTGCCAAAGTTCATCGTGCCCAGACACCACGTGATGATCGGGTGTGATAAGCTCTACGTCCATCTACAACGGGTGCAAGCCAGTTTTGCACACGCAGAATACTCAGGTTAAACTTGACGAGCCTAGCATATGCAGATATGGCCTCGGAACACTGAGACCGAAAGGTCGAGCATGAATCATATAGTAGATATGATCAACATAGCGATGTTCACCATTGAAAACTACTCCATTTCACGTGATGATCGGTTATGGTTTAGTTGATTTGGATCACGTGATCACTTAGATGATTAGAGGGATGTCTATCTAAGTGGGAGTTCTTAAGTAATATGATTAATTGAACTTTAATTTATCATGAACTTAGTCCTGGTAGTATTAGCATATCTGTGTTGTAGACCAATAGCTCACGTTTGATGCTGTCATATGTTTATTTTGATATGTTCCTAGAGAAAATTGTGTTGAAAGATGTTAGTAGCAATGATGCGGATTGGATCCGTAATCTGAGGTTTATCCTCATTGCTGCACAGAAGAATTATATCCTTGATGCACCGCTAGGTGACAGACCTATTGCAGGAGCAGATGCAGACGTTATGAACGTTTGGCTAGCTCAATATGATGACTACTTGATAGTTTAGTGCACCATGCTTAACGGCTTAGAATCGGGACTTCAAAGACGTTTTGAACGTCAGGGACCATATGAGATGTTCCAGGAGTTGAAGTTAATATTTCAAGCAAATACCCGAGTTGAGAGATATGAAGTCCCCAACAAGTTCTATAGCTAAAAGATGGAGGAGAATCGCTCAACTAGTGAGCATGTGCTCAGATTGTCTGGGTACTACAATCGCTTGAATCAAGTGGGAGTCAATCTTCCAGATAAGATAGTGATTGACAGAATTCTCTAGTCACCATCACCAAGTTAGTAGAACTTCGTGATGAACTATAGTATGCAAGGGATGACGAAAACGACTCCCAAGCTTTTCATGATGATGAAATCGATGAAGGTAGAAATCAAGAGAGAGCATCAAGTGTTGATGGTTGACAAGATCACTAGTTTCAAGAAAAGGGCAAAGGAAAAAAGGGGAACTTCAAGAAGAACAACAAGCAAGTTGCTGATCAAGTGAAGAAGCCCAAGTCTGGACCTAAGCCTGGGACTAAGTGCTTCTACTGCAAAGGGACTGGTCACTGGAAGCGGAACTACCCCAAGTGATTGACGGATAAGAAGGATGGCAAAGTGAACATAAGTATATTTGATATACATGTTATTGATGTGTACTTTACTAGTGTTTATAGCAACCCCTAAGTATTTGATACTAGTTCAGTTGCTAAGATTAGTAACTCAAAACGGGAGTTGCAGAATAAACAGAGACTAGTTAAGGGTGAAGTGACGATGTGTGTTGGAAGTGGTTCCAAGATTGATATGATCATCATCGCACACGCCCTATACTTTCGGGATTAGTGTTGAACCTAAATAAGTGTTATTTGGCGTTTGCGTTGAGCATGAATATGATATGATTTGAATATGATCATCATGTTATGCGGTCTGACCGATAAAGATCTTCGTAGAATATGTAGGAACCAATATTAGCATCCAGGTTCCGCTATTGGTTATTGACCGGAAACGTGTCTCGGTCATGTCTACATTGTTCTTGAACCGTAGGGTCCGCACGCTTAACGTTACGATGACAGTTTCATTATGAGTTTATGTATTTTGATGTACCTAAGGTTGTTCGGAGTCCCGGATGTGATCATGGACATGACGAGGAGTCTCGAAATGGTCGAGACATAAAGATCGATATATTGGAAGCCTATATTTGGATATCGGAATCATTCCGGGTGAAATCGGGATTTTACCGGAGTACCGGGGGGTTACCGAACCCCCCCCCCCGGGGGGGTTATTGGGCCTACATGGGCCCTAAGGGAGAAGAGGAAAGGAGGCAAGAGGTGGCCGCGCGCCCCTCCCCTCCCTAGTCCGAATAGGACAAGGAGAGGGGGGCGCCCCCCCCCTTTCCTTTCCCTCTTCCTCCTCTTTCCCACTTCTCCTTCTCCAACTAGGAAAGAAGGGAGTCCTACTCCCGGTGGGAGTAGGATTCCCCCTTGGCGCGCCCTCCTTGGCCGGCCGCCCCCTCCCCTTGGCTCCTTTATATACGGGGGCTGGGGGGCACCCTAGAACACACAAGTTGATCTTCGTGATCGTTCCTTAGCCGTGTGCGGTGCCCCCCTCCACCATATTCCACCTCGGTCATATTGTAGTGGTGCTTAGGCGAAACCCTACGACGGTTGAACATCAAGATCGTCACCACGCCGTCGTGCTGACGGAACTCCGCCCCGAAGCTTTGCTGGATCGAAGCCCGGGGAGCGTCATCGAGCTGAACGTGTGCCAAGAACTCGGAGGTGCCGGAGTAACGGTGCTTGGATCGGTTGAACCGGGAAGACGTACGACTACTTCCTCTACGTTGCATCAACGCTTCCGCTTCGGTCTACGAGGGTACATAGACAACACTCTCCCCTCTCGTTGCTATGCATCACCATAATCTTGCGTGTGCGTAGGAATTTTTTTGAAATTACTACGTTCCCCAACAGGGACACCTTATTCCATGCTTATGAAGATGCCATCGTATCGCCACCGCCGCTTAGAGACCAAAACCTAAAAGATTCTAACCCTACCACCACCTGGACGAAGCACTGGGGTCTCCACCCCATTCCATCACCGAAAGCTAGAGCTGGAGGGAAAGGGGTCCATGGTCTTGACGGGCAGCAGTAGGTCAAAGTTACCTTTTTTGCCCCTGATCACTAAGTTTTTTTTACATTCAACTTACCCTTTATTCGCTGGTGATCAAAGTTACACCCTTACAAGCAGAGGATTAACAGAACGTGGAGGATCTTCCATCCATACACTAAGCTAGGAGTAGAAAACTTGGCTAGGCTAGCTAATTCATGAGCAATTAGGTCTGTCAAAGTTATCACCCTTTATAGGTTCACTGAATAGGGTCTGTTCGAAAAGGGCATGTTTGTAATTTATAGGGTAGTACTATAGTTGTAGCTGCTCTGCCGAAGTTGCCACCCTCCATCATAGTGAACCTATAGTTAGCCACGAGATCAGGTAAGTTACATGTTTGTAATTTATCATGTGTGCTGTAGAGATGGACGACATGAGGTGTACTAGTCACTAGATAAGGTATAAGTTAGGCGTGATAAAGGAAAGCTATAAGTTGTAATAGGAACTATAGTAATTGTTTCCCTTTTGAACTGACCCGAGGTAATTAGGTCTGTTCGAAAAGGGCATGACTAGTATAGTACCCTATAAGAAACAGAACAATGTCGTGAGGCCGCCATACCACGTGAGTGCATGCATATATCACCGAATATATTCCTCCTGCCCATATTGTGCGAGCTATCTAGGCTAGCTTATAGCTTAGCTAACAGCCTCCCTTCGATGCACTCTCATCCCTGACATCAAGCTTTTTTGTTTTTAGAAAAAGAGGAAAACCCTGATCTCTGCATTATTAGGATGTACACAAAGCCCTGACATCTAACTGACCAGATCCCTTCGACTCACCCCTGACATCAAGCTGTGTGTGTCGGGGCAAAACTCTCGCCAAGCATTTATCTACCGTGGCAAAGGCTCTTGCACGGACAGGCAGTTTGCTTCCTAAGCGTATCGACTGTCTGAGTCGGCTCCCTTCTTTATACTATATATATGTTCTTTCCCTCTTGGTCGATCCCAGAGGGCTGGTCCCTTGTAAAAATAGATTTACTCGTGATGAATCTTTTTTTTTTCTCACCTGCTTGCGATGAAGGTCGTCCTACTGCGAGGACTTTTATCCTTGGCTGAAAAAATAAAAAAAATACAGTGCTCGTTAAACTATACCAGTATCAAAGGATCTGGTCCATTCATCAAGACGGATACACGGTACATATTATTTGTACTAATCTATGCTCTTTTGCTCCAGCTCCTTCATCCAAACATTTCGACATTGATGCATCTATCATTTACACTTGCACAAGAGAAGTATGTACGTATAGCTAGCTGACATTAACCGCGTATAACTCATTATGTGATTCACAGTTCAAATGCCCAATCAGGATACGGAAGCATCACACATGCATATACATCCACGATGCAAATTTATACATAAGCAAACATGCTTGGTATACACCAGCTGCAAGCCGCCGTTGATATTTTATGTCAGCAAGTATGTAAGATAAAGTCTGGAAATTTTATTTAAAGTAGGAAAAGGATGCTCTATCCATGAAGTTACATAACACGATTGGCCCCACCAAGTGTTTGTGAGCTACACTGACTCGCAAACCATTAACCTCCTTTCACAACTTTGTTGCTCCCAGACACGACATGGTTGCTCCCAGATACGGTATTGTTGCTCCCGGATACGGTATTGAGAGTCCCGGATACGGTGTGGAAGCTCCCGGATACATTATTGTCTATCCCGGAAACAACATTGTTGTTGTCAGTTACGATATGTTTGGTCCCAGAAACAACATGGTTACTACCAGATACGGTATTGCCACTCCCAGTTGTGATGGTATTGTTGCTCCCAGCAACAGTATTGTCATTCCCAGATACAACCGTGTTGTCGTTTCCGGATACAACATTGGTTCTACCAGATCGGACTTTGTTGTTGGTCCCAGATATGATATTGGGTTGTTGTTGTTGGAGTGTTCGTCTGCTACGCTTCACATACAATGGCATGTTAGTGAAAGCCATACCCAATGAACGACCAGTGGTGGCGAAGCCCTTGAGCTCTATCAAACTCTTGGGTACCTCGCCAACCAATAAATTGTCAGAAAGATCCAAGTAGCATAGGTGATCAAGCTCACCAATCCACGATGGGATGGTGCCGATCAGTTTGTTGTTGGCAAGGTTGAGCTCCTCCAGCTGCGCGAGGCCCGCCAAGGATGCTCTAGGGATGGGCCCCGCAAGGCCGCACCCGGGTAGCCGAAGCCCCGTGACGCGTCCACTTGTGCCGTCGCAGCTCACACCTTCCCAGCCGCAGCACGAGACACCGGTCCAAACAGCGCGTAGGAGCACGCCGCCACCACTGAGATTCCCGGCGAAGCCCTGCAGCGCACGGAGGTCGTCGGTGTGGCACGACGTAGCACTCGTCGCCGGCAAGAGGAACGCCAAGAATTGGAGCAGCAGCCAGCATTTCGCCATGGATTCAGCTGAAGTATGCTATGTCTACACAAACACAACAACTATTGGTAAGAAATCTTGTTTGGGATGCAAGTGATTCGCAAGTGCTCTTGGCAAAAACTGCTCGGTGGTGCATGTTATCTTATAGTGTGTGTGTGTGTGTGTGTGTGTGTG